AAAAAGGGAAAAAAGAAAACACTGGAATGTCAGGAAAATGAGTTACCCTTGTCAGAAATAAAAATAATTCCAGATCATATTAGCAATTTAAAAGTCCCCTTGTTTCTCAGAAATCATTAATTTGTTTTTTATGGAAAAACCTTTAACATCTGGACAACTCCTAATATAAGTAATAAGATTGGAAATGGTTAATAAATATAAGTTAGTTATTATTCTATCTCTTTGTAAATAATGCAATAATTGCAGTGGCATTTTCTAACAAAAGAGGATGCAACAAATCCATTTTTATTAAGTGAAAATAGGCATCAGGGTAAAATGCACACACCAATTAACTATTTAGTATGCCATTGGCTTTACAAGGCCTAACAAGAGAGTACTTTCAGATGATAATGCTTAAATAAAAGCAGAAATAGTATCATGCATAATAATTACAAATGCGTTAAAAATTTGATGGCTATGCTTGAAATAGGGGCCAGGAAGGATTGTGACTTATGGTTCCAGTGTCATCATCAGAATGTATGTGCATTGAGTTGGGGACAGACTTATGTCCCCCAGCAGTCACTCACAGTCATATTTTGATGGTATAAAAATATGCATTGCAACCACATTAAAACAATAGTGTGACTAATATGCAGTTAATTCAGAAAACCATGACACAATTCTGAATGATTAACAGTGATTGCATGATATAATTCTGAATAGTAATTCATTCAGAATAGTGAAGTGAGGCAGTGTGTGATTTCAATTCTGAGACAAATCAGAGAAAGCAATTCATGACAGAATTGTGAATGAAAGTTTTTAAGGCATGATTAGGTGACAGTGAGGAGCACTAAAATGGGAACTTTGTCTGGAAGAAGGATTTCAACAGCCCTGATGGTTAATTAACATATCTTTCACTGACCAGCTGAAAAAAAACCCTTCATTCTATATACTACAGGGAGAACTAGTGAAGGAATTAGTAGTACTTTACTGAGGTGTTAATGAAATGGCAGAATGAAATGAGGACAGAGGTTCATCCAAACTGAAAGAAAGGTGATTTTTCTAAGGGGCAAGTTAGGTCAAAGAAGGATTTTTTTTCATTACCTCTGGATTCTCTATTAGTGTCTGTAGAAGTAAGGTTTCCATCAAAACTACAACTCTGGTTTCCTTTCAAGGCCAGCCACTGTCACTGAAGGATCATTAATTTACTGTGACCTGAGACAGATGGGAAGAGATATATTTGCTTGTGTATGTGTTTGAAGGTGAGAGTCTTGCATGGAATTTAATAATTAGTACTTTTTTTGAAATCTGAATTCTGATTTTGTTAGTAATTCATCTTAAGCCTGCCTTGTTAGATCTCCAAATATCATGTATTTTAGTTGTATTACTGGGTACTGAATGAAACCAGCATAAAGGAAGGATCACTGTGGGGTAATTAGATTAAAATTAATTTCTTGGGAGAATTAGGATATGAGCTAGAGTTTTAAGGACCTTGAAGAGAGACTCATTTAATGAATGTTGCATCACATGTTGACACTTGATGAATGATACAAGGGGGACCCTAGGTAGAAAGCTTTAAATGCCAGGAAATCACTTTTGTTTGCTCTTTGTCGACAGAGGAACAGCCTGTATTTTGAGGAGTGACTGTGCATAGCTTTGGTTATTATTAATCTGTTAGTGTTCTGCATGGGTTCGAATAGGAGAGAGTTCAGTGTTGAGTCTGTTGCAGTTATTGAGGAGATGGGTGTGGAGACGGGATGGTGGCCACACAAAAGAGAATAAAAAATGATAAAATAGTGTGAACTAGGAGAAAGAATCAGAGACAACTCTAATGTTAGTTTAGGACAGTAAGGGTTGGGAGATCAAAATCATAAAGTTCATTTTGGAAGATTAAAGCGAAACAAAATCTTACTGAAAAAGAACACAAGGTATTTATATCTAATTTTTTAAAAAACCAGTGATTGTCAACTAGAAGCATTGGTGGATGTAGTTTCCCTACCTTCCTACCACCAGTTCTTGTGTTTTCTCATCTGATCTGCTTCAACTAATAATTTGGAATGTTGAGAATCTCATATTTTTTCAGTACCTGAGATGATGCCCACTTGAAGTTGTGGATTAAGCTGTGGAAGATGAACAACTTCAGCATAATTATTTATCTCCCAGAGGCAGCAGACAGTTCTGAAAAATGAACTAACTTGATATGAAATTGCCAAAATGTTTCCTTCTTTGATTAAATTGATAGGATTAAAATAAACCTGTAATCCTCCTTTGCTATCCTATACAAATAGACAACATATATGGGAAACAAAAGCAAAAATAAATGGTGCTGCATCAAAATAAAAAACTTTTTCATAGCAAAGGAAACTGTCAACAGAATGAAAGTCCAGTCCCCCTGCTGAATGGGAGAAGATATTGATATTTGCAAGCTATGTATCCCATAAGGGGTTAATATCAAAAATATGCAAAGAACTCATACAACTCAATGTCAAAAAATTCTATTAGAAATAGGCAGAAGTTCTGGATGGACGTTTTCCTAAAGAAGAACTACAGATGGCCACAGACGCATAAAAATGCTCAAGGTCATTAATGTCTGGCTGATATGCTCTCCTTCCTCAGTTCTGGTCTCGTCACAACAAAGATTTGGAATGATGACCACTTGTAACTCAAATAGGCGGAATTTTATTAAGCAGACAACAGGCTGAATTCATAATGACAAGCTAGTTACAGTTCAGTTATGGCTCAAATGGGAAGCAGGCAGCAGAAAACAGGAAGCAAGAACAGGCTGACCCTGAAGCCGCCTCGATTCTGCTTAGTTTCCCATTTTATACTTTTTGTCTCGCCTCTGTGGAGTCTGATTGGTTATGACCTATGAAAAATAGGTGATGGTATCAGCATTCACCTGATTGGTTATGCCCAGGACCAGAGGTTCTCACTCATATCCTTAACTTCCTCTGTTATTATTCCCCATCTTGGACTCCTTTTTCTATTCTACCAACAATCAATCAACAGAGAAATGCAACTCAAAAACCATAATATCACTTCACACCTGTCAGAATGGCTGTACCAAAATGAATAAAAAGACAAGTGTCAGTAAGGGTACAGAGAAATGGGAACCCTCATGAACTGTTGGTCACAATCTAAATTGGTACAGCCAGTATGGAAACAGTATGAAGTTTCCTCAAAATATTAAATATAGAATTACCAGATGATCCAGCAGTTCTACTCCTGGAATTTCTGAAGGGAAAAAAACACTAATTTGAATATATATATATACCCGGGTATATATACACACACACACACACACACACACACCAATGTTCATTGCAGCATTATTCACAATAGCCAAGACTAATTGATGAATGGATAAAGAAGATACGGTGTATATATATATGTGATGGAATATTACTCAGCTATAAAAATTAATGAAATCTTGCCATTGTGACAACATGGATGGACATAGAGGGTATTATGCTAAGTGAAATAATTCAGACAAAGATAAAACTGTATGATTTCATTTATATGTGGAATCTATAAGACAATACAAATTAACAAACAGCTAAACAGAAACAGTCTTGGATACAGAGAATATACAGGTGGTTATCAGAGGAGAGGGGTCTAGGGAGTGGAGATGAATAGGTAGATTAAGAAGTGCAGACTTCCAGCTAAGAATAAATGAGTCACAAATATGAAATGTACAGTGTTGGGAATATAGCCAGTAATTATGGCTATCATGGTAATCATCTTGAAATATATGGAAATATCAAATCACTGTATTGTGCACCAGAAACAAACTCAGTATTGCAGGTCAATTTTATTTCAAAACAAATGAAACAAATTGGCAGAAAGAGATCAAATTTGTGGTTACCAGAGGCAAGTGATTGTGGCAGGGGGAATTGGATGAAGGTACAAACTTACAGTTATGATGTAGATAAATACTAGAGATATAATGTATAACAAAATGATTATTATAATTAACACTGCTGCATGCTATATATGAAAGTCATTAAGAGAGTAAATCCTAAACGTTGTCATCACAAGGAAAATTTTTCTTCTATTTCTTTAATTTTGTATCTATAAGATGATGGTTTTTCACTAAACTTTATTGCAAGAGTCATTTCATGATTTATGTTAAGTCAAATCTTTAGATTGTACACATTAAATTTATTCAGTGCTGTATGTCAATTGTGTCTCAATGAGACTGGAAGAAGAAAAGGACAAAAAAAAGAATGAAGTGGGTATTGATATTGTCATAACCAAAGAAGCATAGCATCATCAGTTTTATAGAATTTATTTGCATGTTTTTCTTTCCCATTGTTGCATTGACTTAGAAACAACAAAATAAAATCCATTCATCTACTAGACAGGTGTCCCAAACTAATATTTCTTGTCTTACAGTGCAAGCCAGAGAGTGACATTTAAAATTAATTGTAGTAGACATTGTACTTTTAACTTTGTGACTGAACCCCTATAGATATTACTGAATTTCGTTATTTATGAAAAGCAGAACCTTTATTTGTGGTTTCAGGTACCTGAGATTATATGGGAAAGCAACAAAGCCGGAACAGTCAATCTCTGGAATTTTTTAAACTATTGACCTGGATATTTTGGTATTGTCATTCTAAAACTGGTCATTATGTGAGCTGAGATTTTTCAACATTTGTTCAGTCGCCAGGTCATATCCAATTCTTTGTGATCCCATGGACTGCAGCACACCAAGATCCTCTGTCCTTCGCTACCTCCCAGAGTTTGGTCAAATTCATGTCCCTTGAGCCAATAATGCTATCTAACCATCTTATCCTTTGTTTTCCCATTCTCCTTTTGCCTTTAATCTTCCCAGCATCAAAGTCTTTACCAGTGAGTTGGCTCTTCGCATCAGGTGACCAAAGTATTGGAGCTTTAGCTTCAGTATCAATCCTTGCAATGAATATTCAGGGCTTATTTCCTTTAGTATTGGCTAGTTTAATCTTCTTGAAGTCCAATGATTATGTTTTCAGCATTAGTGTGAAACAGAGGAATAAATTAGTAAATTCAGTACTAGAAGCTCCTGGATAGTTATGCTAGTTTTATACTTTGCTGACAATTTTAATTGTATGTTCACATACATACAAACATCTTGCACTTTCAAGTTGTAGGAAATATTAGAAACTATTTCATTTCCATCAAAGAACTGAAAGTTTAAATATCTTTCCCTTCTTTCTCCTTCCCTCCTTCCTACCTTTTTTGCTTCCTTCTATATGACATTTTGTTTAATATGACATGACAGTCATCAATAGAACATGATTCCATAGTATGCAAGAGTCAATAATCCTCTACACTGTGTTCAAATTTTCCCTACAAAGAAGTCGCCGAAAAGATATAAACATTCATTTAAATAAAGAATATGGTAAACCAGCTTCTTAAAAAAGCCTAGATACAAAAATAAGAGTATATTTTTGTTAAAGAAGAAACAAAATCTTCAACTGGGTTAAATTATTAACAGATTTTGTTTTTCGTGAGAGTATTTTTGTGTCAAACATCCTAGAAAATATTAGATATTGCAGATGAATAAGACTGTTTTCCAAGTGCTGGTGATTCAGTGGGGGTGAAGGAAAAAGAGAGAGAGAGAAGAAGAATAAACAGATGAGTAAAATGAGGAATGTCAAAATCAAGTGCCAGAGATGATAAGATAGTGCAGCAGCAAAATATTTCAGTCTGGAGAGAGATTTTGGAAGAGGTAACACTTGAAAAACTTAAGAGAGAGAAAGATGAAAAGGAGAGGCAAGAGTGTGACAAAAGGGAAGATAATACAGGGATACCTTAGAGATATTGTGGGTTTCATTCCAGACCACTGCACTTAAGCAAATATCTCAATAAGACAAGTCACATGAATGTTTTGGTTTCCCAGTAATAAAGTTAGATTTATACTATATTGTAGTCTATTAAGTGTGCAATAGCATTATATCTAAAAACTGTACATACCTTAACTAAAAAATGCCTGTCTGTTAATAAATACCACTGATCACCTTACTGTCAAGAAGTCCTAATTTTTTGCTTGGTAGAGTCTTGCCTCAGTGTTGATGGCTGCTGAGTCAGGGTGGTGGTTGCAGAAGGTGACCCTGACATTTTCTTAAAATAAGGAAACAATGAAGTTTGCCACATGAATTGACTCTTCCTTTCATGAACAATTTCTCTGTAGCATGTAGTATGGTTTGGTAGCATATTACCCACAATAGAACTTCTTTCAACATTGAAGTCAGTTCTCCCAAACTTTGCTGCTGCTCTATCAGCTAACTTTTATTTAGTAGTCAAACTCTGTTGTCTTTTCAACAATCTTCACAGCACCTCACCAGGAGTAGATTCCTTCGCAAGAAACCACTTTCTCGGCTCATCCATAGGAACTAACTCCTCATCCACTAAAGTCTGATCATGAGATTGCAGCAGTTCAGTCGCATCTTCAGGCTCCACTTCAGATGCTAGTTCTCTTGCTGTTTCTATCACATCGGCAGCTACTTCCTCCGTGAAGTCTTGAACCGCTCCAAGTCATCTATAAGGGTTGGAATCAACTTCTTCCAAACTCCTATTAATGTTGATGTTTTGGCCTATTCTCATGAATCACAAATGTTCCTAATGGCATTTGAAATGGTGAACCCTTTCCACAAAGTTTCCAATTGACTTTGCCCAGATCCATCAGATGCCACAGATATCTGTGGCAACTATAGCGTTAAGAATTGTATTTTTTAAACAATAAGACTTTAAATTTAAAAAGACTTCTTAATCCATGGGCTATAGAATGAGTGTTATATTATCAGGCTTAAAAACGACATTAATTTCCTTGTACGCCTCTATCAGACCTCTTGGGTCACCACCTGGATTGTCAATGAGCAGTAATATTTTGAAGGGATTTTGTTTTCCTGAGCAGTAGTTCTCAATGGAAGCTTAAGATCTTAAGTAAACCATGTTGTAAACAGATGTGCTGTCATTCAGACTTTGTTGTTCCATTTGTAGAGCACAAGCAGTATAGATTTAGCATAATTGTTAAAGGCCCTAAGATTTTCAAAATAGTAAATGGGCATTGGCTTCTAAAGTCACCCACTGCATTAGCCCCTAACAAGACTGTCGGCTTGTCTTTGGAAGCTTTGAAGCCATGCATTGACTTCTCCTGTAGGTATGAAAGCCCTAGTTTCCATTTTCTTCCAATAGAAGGCTACTTTGTCTGCATCAGAAATATCTTATTCACTGTAGTCACCTTCATTAATTATCTTAGCTAGATCTTCCAGGTGATTTGCTGTAATTTCTACGTCAATAGTTGCTGCTTCACCATGTGCTTTTATGTTAAGGCAATAACTTCTTTCCTTAAACTTCATGAACCGACAAGAAAAGCTTCCAGCTTATCTTCTGCAGGTTCCTCACCTCTCTCAGCCTTTATAGAATTGAGGAGAGTTGGGGGCTTGCTCTGGATTAAGCTTTGGCTTAAGAGAATGTTGTGGCTGGTTTGATTATCTACCCAGATCATGAAAACTTTCTCCATATCAGCAATAAGATCTACCCAGATCATGAAAACTTTCTCCATATCAGCAATAAGAATGTTTCATATTTTAATTTATATCATTCATTTAACTGAAACAGTACTTTTCATTTTCTTAAAGAACTTTTCCTTTGCATCTATGGCTTGGCTAACTTAGAGGATTAACTTTATCTTGGCTTTTGACATGCCTTTCTCACTAACCTTAATCATTTTTAGCTTTTGGTTTAAAGCGAGAGACATGAAACTCTTTCGTTCAGTTGAACACTTAAAAGCCATTATAGAGTTGGTAATTGGCCTAATTTCAACATTCTTGTGTCTCTAGGAATAGGAAGGCCAGGGGAGAGGCAGAGATACACAAGAAAAGCTTGTCAGTGGAGTCGTCAGAATGTGAACAACATTTATTAAGTTGTCTGGCATGTGTGGGTACAGTTCATAGCACCCCAAAGCAATTATTAGTTTGGTGCAAAAATAATTGCGGTTTTGCATTGTGGAACTTTGCCATTTGATATTGTAATACATTCTTAAATAAATGTGGTTATGTTGTACATCCTTTTAATGCACATTTTGAGCTTTATTTAGTTATTTATTTATTTTGCTAATAACATGCTGTTTTATGTTTATTTTAGACTAAGGATATGATGTTAGACAAAAAGCAAATTCAAGTGATTTTCTCATTTGAGTTAAAATGGGGTGTAAATCAGTGGAGACAACTTGCAACATCAGAAACATATTTGGCCCAGGAATTGCTAACAAACATACAGTGCAGTGGTGGTTCAAGAAGTTTTCCCAAGGAAACGAGAGCCTTGTAGATGAGGAATGCAGTGGACATCAATCAGAAATTGACAATGACCAATTTAGAGGATTATTGAAGCTGATCCTTTTACAACTACAGGCTGCTGCTGCTGCTGCTAAGTCGCTTCAGTCGTGTCTGACTCTGTGCAAACCCATAGATGGCAGCCCACCAGGCTCACCGGTCCCTGGGATTCTCCAGGCAAGAACACTGGAGCGGGTTGCCATTTCCTTCTCCAATCCAACTACAGGAGAACTTACCAAAGAACTCAATGTTGACCATTCTGTAGTCTTCTGGCATTTGAAGCAAATTGGACGGGTGAAAAAGCTTGATAAGTGGATGCCTCATGAGATGACCAAAAATCAAAATAATCATTTTGAAGTGTTATCTTCTCTTGTTCTACCCAACAACAATGAACTATTTCTCCACTGGATTGTGATGTGTGACAAAAAGTGGATTTTATATGACAACTGGAGATGATCACCTCAGTGGTTAGACTGAGAAGAAGCTCCAAAGCACTCCCCAAAGCCAATCTTGCACCAAAAAATGGTCATCGTTGCTGTTTGGTGGCCTGCTTGCTGGTCTGATCTACTATAGCTCTCTGAATCCCAGAGAAACCATTACATCTGAGAAGTATGCTCAGAAAGTCGATGAGATTCACCAAAAATTGCAATGCCATTGCAATGCCATTGCTGGCATTGGTCAGCAAAAGGGCCCAATTCTTCTCCACCACTATGCCTGGCCTCATGACGAACAAGCAGTGCTTCAAAAGTTGAATGAATTTGGCTATGAAGTTTTACCTCATCTGTCATATTTATGTGACCTCTTGCCAATCACTTCTTCAAGCAACTCAACTACATTTTGCAGGGAAAGTGCTTCTACAACCAGCAGGAGGCAGAATGCTTTCCAAGAGTTTGTTGAATCCCAAAGCATGAATTTTTATGCTACAGGAATAAACAAACTTATTTCTCATTGGCAAAAATGTGTTCATTATAATGGTTCCTATATTGGTTAATAAAGATGTGTTTGAGTCTAGTTATAATGCTTTAAAATGCATAGTCCCAAACCAAATTACATTTGCACCAACCTAATAAAATAGTAACATCAAAGCTCCCTGATCACAGATCACCATAACAATTAATGAAACAAAACTGCAATACTGCAAGAATTCCTAAAATGTGACACAGAGACAGAAAATGAGCAAATGTTATTGGAAAAATGATCTGATAGAGTTGATTTATCCAGGATTGCCACAAAACTTCAATTTGTAAAACAACCACAGCATCTGCAAAGTGCAATAAATGAAGCACAAGAAATAAATGTCTGCCTCCTAAAAATCTCTGTTCACCACCAGATACAGGGAATCAAGTAGGATCTAGATTTTTAGATATTCTGATAAATGAAACTATTACTTTCTTATAGGCAGTTAAAAAAACAATGCACTAAATTGAAATATGTCTAAAAAAGTTAGATAATCTTATTTTCTTTGCTTTTTCGTTTTGATAATCTCCTTTTGGGGAGAGAACATAAAATATGACATGTTTTTCAAAATCATCCCCCCTCCCCATATCCTCTGCTTTGTGGAATATACTATTGATAAATCTGTGTTTGGACATCACTTTGGATAACATTGTTATTGTTTAGTCACTAAACAATTAGTTCATGTCTGACTCTTTGTGATGCTATGGACTGTAGCCTGCCAGGCTCCTCTGTCCTTAGGATTTCCCAGGCAAGAATACTAGAGTGGGTGGCCATTTCCTTCTCCAGGGGATCTTCCCAGCCCAGGGATCGAACCCATGTCTCCTGCTTGATGGGTGAATTCTTTACCACTGGGATTAGCCAAAAAGAAAAATGGAAAACAGCGCAGATCAGTTAAACAAACACCTGCATAAAGCATCATATGGAACCCAGAGATACTAAGGATATCATCTCCTGCTCCTAAGAAGCTCACAGCTGAGAGGGGAAGACCAAAGGATGAATAAAGGATATGATGTGATAAAAAGTGCTCCTGGGAGGTGTTGCCTCCTATGTGCACAATTCGAGCAGGGGAAGAGTTTCTGTACCAAGTGACAGCTCTGCCCCTCTGCATCCCCCTGCCAGGCCCCAAAGAGACAAGTTTGACTTTTCCCTGTACCGGAGTTTATGACCTGATTTTTACATTTTTCCTGCTCCCAATAATAAGACTGAATTTTAGGAGTATTTTATGAAGAAATAAAAGCACTTTACATTAAGTAATATAATCATAACATTTTATTCCACAGATTTAATATGCAAATCTCTAAAGAATCACTTCATCAGCTTTGTGATTGTGTTATTATACAAGTGTAAATGTGATTTATATACAGGACATGGGGAAGAAAATCTGAAAGCAGATGAGAGTTTCATTCAGAGCTTTATATATATATATACATTTTTTTTAAAGAGAAACTAGTAGGCTGTCTGATAGGTACTATTCAAGGTTTTTTTAAAAAATTAGCTGATATAATCCTAATGTTGACGCTATGATGTAGGCACTGTTGCTGTTTTATAAAGAAGGAAACGGGGATATGGGAAAGCTAAATAACTTTCCCAAAGTTCAAGTGATAGTTGGCAAAGCCAGAACTGGAAGCAAGACAGTGTCTGGGAAGTGTAGATGGTTGGCTTCTATACACCTGTGTAGACATGTAAACTGGAGATTTATAGCGCTTCCTGGGCTCACGCTTCCTTTCAACGTCCAGATGATATGTTTTAAATCATTATACAATTCCTTATAATGAACTCAAGACCCACCCCACTGATTGCAAGTATTCCCAGAGAACTTACATTCATATCACTGCTTCCAGCTCCAGGTTCCAAGCCCTGCTGACATCTTGGCACTTGCCACCCTTCTTCCTTCCTGAAGTTACTGCTCCTTTTTTACTCCCACATCGCAGGAGCAGAGAAGTCGAGACTTTCTCCTTCAAATCTCCGAGTACATCATTAACCCACGTTTGTTGTATATAACAGAAACTTACTGAAAGGTTGAGGATAGTGGGGGTGAATCCGAGTATAAAGCAGAAGCTTTGGTTTCTAGACACTTAAGAATCCTTCCTGTCATTTGGAATTTCTTACCAAGTCTTTTCATAGCCCCTTTCAACACCCTGCCATTTGGCCCGATCATTTCTTTTCACATATTGTTTCCTAACTGGAGCAAGCAAAGGCCACCCCAAATTCCTATCCCCCTTTCTTATATAAAAGTTTCTAATACTTATTTTACTTGTTTCCATCTAGACTAATCCAGGGAAATTTGCCCTTCACACACACACACACACACACACACAAAACATATTTGTGTTTTCACTAACTGTATAGATCTGAACATCTGAATGGTGAATCAGAACAGTCAATGACTACTGACTTTTTTCCCAGGAACTATTTTTATTACATTAAAAGAATTGTTAGGTAGGGAGAAAAACTAATGGACATATAGAAACCAAAATACAGTAAAACACAAGGTATCTCTTTAAGCAAGTTGAGCACAACTAAATTTGCAGTAAGCACAATGATTTTTAAAAAAGAAACCATCAAATATACCTTTGACACATTTAATTCACAATTCTCTGACTTAATTAAGAGTTTAGAGTGGTTGACTATGTTGGAGAAAGGACGACCATAGTAACATTTAATCTTTTGCTCAATAAACAATTGTTCTTTGCCTATTATATTTCAGGCCTGGTGCGTGGAAGGAGAGGTATATGGTGAATAAAGTATGGTCCTTGACCTCATAATCCATGTATTCAGTGGATCACATGGGAACATAAGCACATAATTAGAAAATAGTGCATTATGTATCACAGTGACACACAGTGACACGTATACAGTGGTGTAACAGTAGAATATGCAGCTAGCAGCCTGATGGGTCATGGAAATTAATGCATGAGAAGACATTTATTCTGGAGCATGAGAGTTTAAGTATTCCATGGAGAAAAGGATAGAAGAGGAAAGGGAATGTGTAAATGCTTGGAAGAGTGAAACAGAATCACATCTCTGTTGTGAGCATCAGCTTTGTGTGTGTTGAAAGCCGAAGGGATTATGAGGTAGAAGGAGGGGAGAGGAAGATGAGTGGCCACAATGAGAGTGAAAAATAGGTCAGGCTCCATGCAAGAAAGAACATTATATATCCCACCCTCCAGACTTCTAGAAACACCAAGGCCAGGTTTTATAATGCTTGTTAAAAACAGATTTCTGGACTCCATCCCAACCTACTGAATCTAAATGTCTTGAATGAATCAAAAGCCAGAAGAAATTTTTATGCCTATTATAGTTTATGAAACTGTGCTATAGGCAATGAGAGCCTTTGGCTAATTTAATGTTGCAGAATTCCAGACCATACTGGGCTTTATAGACCCATATACTGGAGAGAATACTGTATGTGTATTAATATTTAGAAACATAATGAAAAAAAATTAGTTCTTGTATAGCTTGAAAGCTGTACAGTACCCTGGGTAGCAACTTGGAGTAGCTTAGCTAGATGGAATTATATAAGTGTCTTACTAAAATATCATTGGTAAAACTTTACCAAGTGCTTTTTTTTTCTTCCTCTTTTATTCCATCTCACATGCACAATAAATCCTGTCTGAATAATTTACTCATTCTGGAACATTAAAACAGGCTTTGTGCTTTGAGGATAATGAACGATTTTCTTAACTATAATGAGGCTTTTGAAAATGTTGTGCTACAAAATATATGAGGGGAAAAATGTAACTTTATTGAAACTTCCAAGCTAGTATTAATGGTTTTGATAAGAAGCTG